AACCTTTGCAGTTCGTCCAATTCTGTTTCTGTGAATACTTTATTTCGTATTATACATCGGCATTGATCTGCTAGTCTCTGTTCTGTTATTTCTGATTCTGGATGTTGTTCTTTCCAGAACTGGTGCATTCATTTTAGACATCCTCTTCTTGTTGGACTTGATTTTAGTAACAGATCATTATTTCTTTGTTTTCACTGTGCATCTGCGACGGGTAGACACCTTTTCTTCCAGTAGTTCTGCAGCTGCTGGCCCTGGTTGCTCAGCCAACAGTCCTGAGTCCTGTAACGCATTTTTCACCAGATATCCAGGAACTCCAATATCTAACGCAGACCTTGTAAACCTGGGCGATATCTGAGCCAGTATGGCATTCTGAAATTTACGTCTCACCATATTTTTTATGGGAGAGACACTCTTTGTCTGACTCCTCTGATAAGACCTGTCCAGTATGGTTGAACCTCTGGCATAGCTCTCATCTTCCTCAGAGTACACAAGCCCCACAACCATGTCAAGGTGGTGCCTCACTGGAGGATTATTATTATTATCGATCATCGCACAGTCAGCCAGATGTTCAGACTGGATTTGGCATTTTGTCTACCTATCGAATCCTTACCCAGGACCTGGGATAGGCAGATGTGGATGTTTGATGCTATTACAGATATCGGCGCAGGATGGAAGCAGTTCCAAATAAGGCCGCCTTTTGCATGACTAATAGAGTAATTTGTCATGCCAATGGTGTAAGTGGTGTATCCAGTTGTTTGGGATTGACCAAAGGAGCCTATGACTATTGGTAATACATTGCTTGCTTTGCACAGTCTTTCATCTATTTGTAGGTCTTTGTATTTTGTTATCTTCTCCAGTTCTTTCTTATCTATTCTGCTGCCACGTCCACTATCCAGATTTTTTTGTCTTTCTTATCGACAATTGTTAAGTCCAGGGTGTTATGTTGCAGGTGTTTGTCTGTTTGAATTCTGAAGTCCCAGAGCAGTTTAATTTTATCATTTTCTATGACTTTCTCTATTTTATGATCCCACCAGTTTTTGCTTACAGGCAAATGATATTTTTTGCAGATCTTCCAATGCACCATTGTTGCTACTTTGACATGCCGCTGTAGTCAGTGTGTGCAATCTTCTTGCAACAGCTTTACCAGGTGGTCCACTGTTTTTTCAGCTTCTTTGCATAGGCGGCACTTACTGTCTGTTGCTGTCTTCTCAATTTTGACTTTATATGCATTTGTCCTTAAGGCTTGGTCTTGTGCAGCCAGAATTAGTCCCTCGGTCTCTTTCTTCAATTTTCCTGCTCTTAGCCATTGCCAGGTTTTATTATTATCTGCTTTCCCAGCTATTTTTTTCATGTATTGGCCATGTAGTGCTTTGTCTTCCCATGCCTCTATTCTGTTCTTCATTTGGTCTTTCTTGTAGGCCAGTTTGGTCTCTCCAGTAGTTAGTAAGCCTTCCTGATATACTAATTTCAGTGCATCTTCATCATTGTTCTTCAGATATTCTTCCAAAGCCATTTTTTCTTCTTCAACCATCTGATGTACTTGTAGCATTCCACGCCCACCTATTTGCCTTGGTAGATAAAGTCTATCAATGTCACTGCGTGATGAAGGGCATGATTCATTGTCATTATTTTTCTGGTCTGCCTATCCATTGCTTTTAGTTCTGCTTGAGTCCAGTCCACTATTCCAGCTGTGTACCTAATGACTGGGATTGCCCAGGTGTTGATTGCCTTTATGGTATTTCCTCCATTGAGTTTGGATTTTAAGATCTTCTTCACTCTCTTGATGTATTCACCTCTAATCTTTTTCTTGACTTCAGTGTGCTTGATGTTGTCAGCTTGAAGGATACCCAAGTATTTGTAGTACTCTTCCTCATCCAGACTCTTAATGTTATTTTCGTGGGGCATCTTGATTCCTTCAGTTTTCATTATTTTTCCTTGTTTGATAGTAAGTGTGGCACATTTGTCCAAGCCAAACTCCATTACAAGTATCTTGGCTATATATACGGACAGTGTTGAGCAGCGATTCTATTTCAGATGATGTTTTTCCATACAGCTTCAGATCATCCATATAAGGAGTGGGATAGTCTGGCAGATGTTTTTGATGTTTGATAGCCATGTCCTGAGTTATTCAGTATTGTTGACAGAGGAAACAGTGCAATAACAAATAGTAATGGTGATAATGAATCTCCTTGAAAATATTCCTCTCTTGATATTAACCTCTCCAGTCTCTCACCATTGATCTGCAACTGTGTCTTCCATTGTGCCATCGATCTTTGCACAAATTTTCTGATGTTTCTACTGACTCCTGTTATTTCTAGGCACTTTATTATCCAATCATGTGGCAGAGAGTCAAATGCCTTTTTGTAGTCAATCCATGCCACATTCAGGTTGGTCTTCCTCCTCTTGCAGTTTTCCAAGATCATTTTGTCTATTAGGAGTTGATCTTTTGTTCCTCTGCTATTGGGGCGGTTTCCTTTCTGCTCAGGTGGAAAGAGATTGTTTTCAACTAGATGCTGTTGTACTGCATCAGCTACCACACCAGTTAGTAATTTGAAAGTTGTTGGTAAGCAGGTAATTGGCCTGTAGTTACCTGGTGTTGCCCCTTTTGCTGGATTTTTCATTATTAGGTAGGTTTTCCCAGTTGTTAGCCACTTTTCAATTTCTCCTCCTTGTAGTATATTGTTGAACTGTTTGGCAATGAGTGGGTGTATAACAGTTAGATGTTTCAACCAAAACCCATGCAGTTCATCTTCACCTGGTGCTGACCAATTTTTGATTTTCTTTGCTCTTTTTTCTACCATTTTTGTTGTTATTACTAGTTCTTTCATTTCAACTTCTGTTTTATTTGCATCCACCTCTTTTAACCAAGCCGCATCCTTGTTGTATTTCTTTGGGTTATCCCATATCTGCTTCCAGAACTGCACTGTTTCTTCCTTGTCAGGTACTGACTGATTCCTTTGCAGTTTCTCCATTGATGGATTGGTAGAAACGTTTCTGATTGGATTGAAATTGGAGGTTCTGCCTATAGTTTGCAATTCGAGCTTCATATCTACTGATTTTCCTGGCTATAGCTGTTATTTGTTGCTTTATTATTTCCAGTGCTTCCTTGATCTTCCTGTTTCTAAGTGGTATTTCTTGATTAGGTATTCTTTGGTCTTCTTGTTCTTCAGCTTCTTTTCTTTCATCTGTTCTAGCTTGCTTGCATGTGATCTTAACTTGCTGATATTATTTTCTAGTATTATTATTATTATTGTTATTATTATTACTATTATTGTATCCCAGGTCCTGGGTAAGGACTCAATAAGTAGACAAAATGCCAAATCCAGTTTGAACATCTGGCTGACTGTGCGATGATCCATAATAATAATAATAATAATAATAATAATAATAATAATAATAATAATAATAATAATAATAATAATAATACAAAAGTTGGAAGGGACCTTGGAGGTCATCAAGTCCAACCCCCTGCTCAGGCAGGTAACCCTATACCATTTCGGACAAATGGCTGTCCAGTTTCTTCTTAAAAACTTCCAGTGTTGGAGCATTCACCATTTCTGGAGGCAAGTTGTTCCACTGGCTAATTGTTCTGTCAGGAAGTTTCTCCTTAGTTCTAGGTTGCTTCTCTCTTTGTTTAGTTTCCATCCGTTGCTTCTTGTCCTGCCTTCAGGCACTTTGGAAAATAGCTTGACTTCCTCTTCTTTGTGGCAGCCCCTGAGATATTGGAACACTGCTATCATATCCCCCATCATCCCTCTCTTCATTAAACTAGACATACCCAATTCCAGGAACCGTTCCTTATATGTTTTAGCCTCCAGTCCCCTTATCACCTTTGTTGCTCTTCTCTGTACTCTTTCTAGAATCTCAACATCTTTTTTACATCATGGTGACCAAAACTGGATGCAGTATTCCAAGTGTGGCCTTACCAAGGCATTGTAAAGTGGTATTAATACTTCACGTGATCTTGATTCTCTCCCTCTGTTAATGCAGACTAGCACTATGTTGGCTTTTTTGGCAGCTGCAGTACACTGCTGGCTCATATTTAAATGATTGTCCACTAGGACTCCGAGATCCTCTCCAAGACTTGAGTAGGTAAATTGTGTGATGAATTGCAGAAAAACAGATTCCTACCTTTGTTTATTTTTTAAAAAAACTGATCTATATTTTATCTATCTATCTATCTATCTATCTATCTATCTATCTATCTATCTATCTTCTGAATGAAGTGATATCTATCCTAAAAAATGATAAATGATGGGTAGAGAATTGGAAGTATTATTGATCTGCCTTGGGAAATCTGTGAGAATACTTGCTAATTAGGCTCTCAGAAATATAGCATAACATATTCTGGAATTAAGACAATTTTGGCTAAAGACCAGCTAAGTTACCTAAAAAAAGTCACCACATTTATTACAATAAAAAAATTAAATCTTAGCCCAAGGTTATTTTTTTTTTTACCATTACTATCAGAAAACTCCAAGATATTCTCACAATGCCACATGAGTGCTGAGCTCTTCAGAAAGAGTTGCATTAACTATATGGTATGCCTCGATAAGAAGTAGTCTTGAGAATTTTATCATTTTAATTTTTTCAAGGCATGGAGAGGAGAAAAAAATAGCCTATACGTAATAGGATAAAAAGAGAATTAAAGCCAAAGAGATCAAGTCTTAGTCTATCATCTTAATGATTAAGCATTAATTATTTTTTTGCATAATTAATAGCAGCAAGTTTATTATAGAATTTTAGTGACACATATTTACAATACATTAAAAGTGATTTTTATAAAAATATGTTTCATTTATTTAAATTCATCATAGCAGACTCTAGAAGACTTATAGAATGTAATACTAAATCAAAACAATTAAAAATATTAAACATGAATGTTGTAATTATTTTTAGTTCTTTTGCCAGCAGCCCAGAGTCACTGTGTAGAGGAAATGAGCTGCATAATAATGCAATAAAAAGAATATTAAAATTATAATTTTTCTGTTTTTTCACAGGTAGCAACCAGTATGGTTCAATTTATGGACACACATCTGTGACCACAGGTAGCCTTTTGGATGATCACCACTGGCATTCTGTTTTAATAGAGCGTCATGGGAGAAACATCAATCTCACCCTTGATAGGCATTTGCAGCAATTTCGAATCAATGGGGAATTTGACTACTTGGATCTGGATTATGAGGTACACAACCATCCATTACTATTCAATTTGTGCTTAGTGCTTCCTTATCAGACATAGGATATGCACATTAGTAATTGCACACAAAGGATGTTTTCTGAAGTTATAATATGCACGTAATATTTCAGTGCTGATTTAAAAAATAGCTAGTTCTAAATCACAAATCAATTCAAATAAGTTCAAAGATATTCTAGTAATAGTTCTAGTAATAGAATATGAGAAATAATTACCTCAGGCAAGGATATATATAGCAAAGGGCAACATTAAATTGAACAAGATTTAAAATTCTTATTTTGGGGCTTTTTAATTTAAAAAGTGATCAAATAGAATATATTTTTAAAAATAGAAATGTATTTTTTGGACTTACATTATTATTATAAATATGATAAATATGTTGTAATAGATAGAGAGAGTTTGTTTCATTTAATTATGAATGAAGGATGGGAATTTCCTGATATTATAGTTGATAAGTATTTGAAGGTGTAAACTTTATCAAGGGCTTAAAAAGATTTTTTATAGATGTAGATTGATGAAATGATAGAATATATTTTTTAAAATAGAACTGTATCTGTTGGATTTATATTATTATTTTAAATATGATAACTATGTTGTAATAGAGAGAGAGGAAGAGCTATTTGTGACAGGGAAAAAATCAGTCTCAATGAATGACCTATTATTAAGGATACCTGAAATCCCAACTATATGTTTACTAAAACATAATTGGAGTATGACAACTGTAATTAGTAAAGCTTAAATCAGGATATAATCGCATGTGATTGATGATTTCTAAGTTTGATGACTAAACTTTACCTAAAACTTTATTAATTTTAATAAATAATACTATATTTAGGAAACAAAGGAAATTTTTGATAATTAATTTGAGCTATACTTATATGATTTTGTCTTTGAATGACTTGACATCCTGACCACCATGTTGTGTCCTAAGCAGGAAAAAAATGGAAAAAACCAATAATTTTTTTATAAAAAAATAAAAAGGAAGAAGAAGGTTAGCAGTGAAAGTATCATAAATAAAGCTCTTAAAATAAGATTCAATGAAAAACATGCCATCAAGGGCAATTCCATTCATTAGATATATAACTAGAATAGTGGATAGGACTCATATAGAACTCTGGATAGGCAGATCACAAAAATAATGAATATGAATCATGCCCTTCAGGAACATAGTGACTTTGACACACTCAAAGATATGGAATGTTGCAATACTCCAGAAATTTGAAGAAGAAAAGAGGTGATTGGAAGAACATCAGGGACATAAAGAAAAAGATGCACTGAATGTAATACACTATGAAGGCTTACTGAATAACAAAGAAACCAAACAAGCCTATAAGAAGGAATTACAGAATAACAGAGTTGGAAGGGATCTTGGCAGTCTTCCAACCCTTTGGCCAAGCAGTAGATCCTAAATCAGTGATGGTGAACCTTTTAGAGACTGAGTGCCCCAAAACTGCCCCCCGCCTACTGGGCCACCCAGTGCCTCCACGGCCCGCTGCAGATCACCCAGGCAGCCCAGCAGTGTCATGGCGGCTATGCCTTCCACCCTGCAGCAACATTTGCACGTGAAGGGGCACGAGGGCAGAGTCTTGTCCCCACTTCCTGGCTGCCATGTCCTTGGCTGTGCTGCTCCACGTGGGCCGTGCCCAGAGGTGACTCTCCTCTGGGGAGAGGCTGCTGGTGAGGAGGGGACCGCTGGGGGAGACAGGGCTGGGGCAATGGCGCATGTGCCAAAGAGAGGGCTCTGATGCCCCCTCTGGCACGCATGTTATAGGTTCACCATCACTGTCCTAAATGATTCCAGACAAATTACTATCCATCTTTTCTTAAAAGCCTCCAGTGATGATTATAAATTATATACTGGTGAAAAGGTCCGGATTTTGGATATAGATAAGTATCTACAAGAAGCTCATTTTCCTAAGCTTACAAATGCTCAACGAGATGAGATTAATGGTTTAATTACTTCTGAGGAAATTATTATGGCAATTAAACAATTAAAGGTTGGCAAAGCACCTGGTACAGATGGATTGACAGCAATTTATTACAAAACATTATCTGAAGAGATGATAGAACCATTAAAGGAACTTTTTAATAGTATATTATTGGGTGCAGAGATACTTCCATCTTGGAAAAGGGCTTTTATATCATTGATTCCAAAAGAAGATCAAGATCTTATTCAACCTGAAAATTATAGACCTATATCTCTTTTGAATATAGATTATAATTTTTTTTCTAAAATATTGGCAAATAGATTAATGTTTGTATTGAAGCAAGTGATTCATACTGATCAATCTGGTTTTATAACTGGAAGATATATGAAAAATAATGTTAGACAAATTATTAACTTAATTGAATATTTGGATAAAAATGACCAGATTCCTGCAGCTTTAATTTTTTTAGATGCTAAAAAAGCTTTTGATCAGTTAAATTGGCAATTTTTGTTAAGAGTGATAGAGGAGATGAATTTTGGGGATAAATTTCTGCAAGCCCTAAAGGGCATTTATCAACAACAATCGGCTCAAATCATAATTAATGGAGGGCTAACAGAGGCCTTTCAAATTGGAAAAGGTACAAGACAGGGATGTCCGTTATCTCCTTTATTGTTTGTTTTAACTTTAGAAATTTTGTTAATAAAAATTTGTGAGTCAACTACAATAAAGGGAATAATGATAAATAAGAAGGATTACCGGTTGAGAGCTTTTGCTGACGATTTGGTTGTTACTTTATCACAACCGATTCATTCGGTTTTAGATTTGTTACAGATTATAAATCAGTATGGGCAAGTCTCTGGTGTTAAGGTTAACAATAATAAGACTAAAATATTATCTATTAAGGATAAAGAAATGTTAGTTAACTTGACAGGTTTTGATATAGTAAAAAAGGTTAAATATTTGGGAATGTATATAACAACTTCTAATGTAAAATTGTATAAAAATAATTATGAAATATTATGGACTAAAGTGCAGAAGGATTTGAATGATTGGAAAAAATTACAATTATCTTTGTTAGGAAGAATTTCTGCTGTTAAGATGAATGTTCTACCAAAATTTCTTTTTCTGTTTCAGATGATACCTATTTTGAAGAAAGATGTTAATTTAGATGAATGGCAAAAGGGGATTAATAAATTTATTTGGGGAGGGAAAAAACCAAGAGTTAAGTTTAAGATTATACAAGATGTACGAGAAAGAGGAGGACTTAAGATGCCTAATTTGAAACTGTATTACGATGCTGCGGCTTTAACATTGATTAGCGATTGGATTAACTTATCAAACCAAAATATACTTTCTTTGAAGGGATGGGATTTATTATATGGATGGCATGCATATTTAATTTATAACAAGAAACTAGATAGGGCTTTTAAATTGGATATTTTAAGAATTGCTTTATTGCGTGTCTGGAAGAAATATTATTATAGATTAAATTATAAAACACCAATTTGGAGGATTCCTGGACACGCAGTAGAGGGGATATCGAGAGGTGTGAACTTGGATAGGATTTCTTATAACCAATTGCTTAAACTGGAAGGGAAGGATTGGCAGTTAAAATTGTTAGATGAATTAAGGCAAGATAATATTGTTTACTCTTGGTTTCAGTATAGACAATTGTTAGATAGATGGAGTTTAGACCAAAAAGTTGGTATTACTTTAGAAGAAGAGAATTTGATAAAACAAATTAGAGATCAAAGTCGAGCTCATATAAAGAGAGTTTATAATGTATTAGTGGAATTGGATTCAGAGATGGAATTAATCAAAGATTGTATGATAAAAAGGGGCCAAAATTTTCAAGAGCCGATTTTACTAGATACATGGGAGGCAATTTGGGTTGGGAATGTGAAGTTTACTCAGGCTCAAAATTTACGAGAAAATTTTTATAAAATGTTTTATAACATTTGTGGCATTTGGATCCACAAAAATTGTCTCGCATGTATCCTAATTTACAGCCTAAGTGTTGGAAATGTTTGGTGGACGTGTAGAAATATAAAAGCTTTTTGGATAAAGATTTGGTGGAACATTCAGAAGATTTTTAATAGAAAGATAAAGTTTACAACACAATTGTTTTTGTTAGGTATTATTGAAGATTGTGATGTTAAAGAAACTATTTTAATGTTGAATCTTATTATGATGGCAAAGTTATTGGTTGGGCAATATTGAAGGAAAGATTCTTTGCCTACCATAGAAGAATGATCGTTTAAAGTTTCTAATTTAGCAGAAATGGCCAAAATTTCTGCCTATTTGAAGGATCATTCACAAGAAAGATACATCTCAGTGTGGAGAAGATAGATAAATTTTGTACAGAATAAATATGGGATTAGAAAGTATCATTTAGTTTTTGATTAACTTATAGTTTAAATTGGGAGTTGTTTGTATTTGAGTTAAAGTATTTTAGGGATTTGGTTATTGGTATAGTTGGGTAAGCTTTGTTAGAATTTGTTTGCTCATTTTTAATCCTGTAATCAGCTCTGGGAAGTGAGGGGGGGAGGGTTAGGGTGGGGGGGGGAAGGAGGGATATTGTATTGTAATAATAAATTTGTATAAAACTTTTCAAAAAAAAAAAAGCCTCCAGTGATGGAGCACCCACAACTTCTGGAAGCAAGCCATTGCACTGATTCTCACATTTCTCATTATTAATGTTCTGCCATTAATCTCTCCTTGATTCTAGATTGGATCTCTCTTTGATAACCTTCCAGCTATTACTTCTTGTCCTGCCCTCATGTTCTTTGGAGAATAGGTTGATTTAATCCTTTTTGTGACAGGCCCCTAAATATTGGAAGACTGCTATCATGTTGTAGTGGAAACCCCAATACTTACATCAGAAGACAAGACCACGAAGGGTTGGAGAATACAGGTTTTTATTCGTGCACGATGGCTCAGAGTATTAGCATGACAAATTCTGAGCCCTGAGCTATTCTCAGGGGTTAATTCTTATAGTATTCACCACCCACGCCTTAGCCACAGGGTGGTCCTTATCTACCTTTAACACACTTAAACAGAGAAGTTTATATCTTGCAGTTACATAAGCAAAAAGGAGAAGTTTGCCCAAACGGTTGCCTTACCACACCTCTCTTCCCGGGTGTTATCTTACAACATCTGTGACTTTTAGTTGACACTGACACTTCTTGTAAAATGGTTTCTACATAGCATTAACACATCTCTATAATTATGACACACACGCAAGTTATATGATTTTTGGTTACATTGCACAGCCAAACTTAATATCATCTATTAACTATTATTATTAGCAACAAGCATTCTTATTAGAATATATAGATCTTACTGCCCACCTCATTTCTAATTCTTTTCTTGGTTAGACTAGGCAAACCCAGTTCCTGCATCAGTTCATCATATACTTTAGCATCCTGTCCCCTAATTATCTTTGTTGCTCATATCTGCACTCTTTCTATAGTGTCAACATCATTTTTGTATTATCGTGACCAAAACTACACACAATATTTCAAGTGTGGTCTTATCACTTCATGTGATCTTGATACAATCCTTATTTTGGCAGCTGCAGTACATTCCTGACTCATACTTAAGTAATTGTCCACTTGACTCCTAGATCCTCTTAGAGTTACTCCTCTCTCTCTCTCTCTCTCTCTCTCTCTCTCTCTCTCTCTCTCTCTCTCTCTCTCTCTCTCTCTCTCTCTCTCTCTCTCTCTCTCTCTCTCTTCTCTCTTTGCATAAGACCAAATGAAGATTATACAGTACATGAAAAAAACTAACATCAAATCAGATAACATCCAGATCTGGCAAATGCTGCCTCCTCAAAGAAGCTGAAGAAACAATGTACAACCTACTTAGTTGCAGAAAGAAGATTGTATAAACTGATTACAAACATGGCATGACAAATTAGCAACAACGGTACACTGGAATGTCTGCAAGAAATACCATTTGCCCGCAAGCACGAAGAACTGTCAGACCAAAAAAACAGAAAAAGTAATAGAAAATGAAGAAGCTGGAGCATCAGTTGAACACCATTGACACTGGCAAAATCACCATCAGTCAGTTGCAAAAGGCAGATAGTCTTTGACTTACAATCACAGATGAGATCAAAATTTCAATTGTCTTAACCCTAACCCTCTCACATTTTGAGCAGCGAGGATCGCTGGTTTGAAAGAGGAGTCAAAGAGACCATCTATGTCAAAATTGAACAGCCCTCTCTCAACAGAGGGGGGGGGATATAACCTCATCTATCTCCAATCTATAACCCAGTCCTTTCAACAGTTCCAAGAAGACTCCACACCTATTTGCACTACTCAAGTGACCCTGGAGACACAGATAAGCTTCCAGGTAACTTTAACTACTCACTAGCAGAATGCAAATGAACAGCTGTCTGCAGGAGTATAAATCTTTCCAATCCCTACCATCCAGTCAGAGCTGAAGAAACTTCTTGGATGAGAAATGAAACATCTTCAAAGAAAAAACAAGAAAGTCCAATTGCCTTGTAAAAAAGAAAAAGCATCTTTGGGATAACAGCTATCCTCCTCAGCTTCATAGTGGATCAATAATTCAACTGAATCAATAATTTAATTAATTATGGTATTTCTCCTGGACATTTTCTCCTAGTCTAATGAGGAAATTTTTGAGACAAATATGCATACAAATAATTGTCATGAAAATTAACTTTCATATAAAACACCATGGGATATTTATCAAATTCTCTGTTGAAATAAAGATATTAGATTTTCTATTGCCAATATTTTGTTCCAATTTGATGTGAAACTACCATTGATAATGAGCAATTACTGAGCAATTATCCTCTTAACTGTTATATCATCCAAAATACAAGACTTTGTTAGAGTCTTTGCACTTTCCTTACAAATTCATTAGGCACTGGACATTTAAACTCATTCAGTGTAATTAGTAATCCTTAGCCAAGTATGTATCACAAGTCATTCTGTTCTGCAAAATTGTCTGGTATAGCCTCATCTGGAAACACCAATTCAAAGTATGAGTTAAGTAGTTCTGCCAATTTTTTTTTACTTGTAAGCATTTTGCTATCTTGATTTGGCAGCTGCTATACTGATTCCTTTCCCTCCCTTTGAATATATGTGAAGAAAACCTTTGATTGTTGTGTTGGAAGAAAAGTCTTCAACGTGGTTCATCAAAGCCAGGGATAAACAACATGGAGACTGCTTTAAGAAAAAAAGTTGCAGTTTATTGAAGAGCCAGACTGAAAGATGGTTTTTGCAGGAAAGAGGAGAGAAAAAAAGGCTGAACACATGTAGGGAGTGGATTTTTATACTCCCTGGAGCATTTTGTTGGGAGTTGTTCCTGTGGCATGAACTTTGACCTGAGTTTGAGTGTGCCTTTCTGATATTCTGATGGTGATGGGCCAATCTTATTATGTCCAAAGGTCATATATTACTTCCCTGGAGCTGATGACTAATCTTAGAGTTTGGATGGGGTATGTAGATTTTAGATCTTTATCTTCTTAATCTAGCTCCCTGGATTTACATCTGCATCTCTATAGAGCTGGTTTCTGCTTGGAGAAGGGAGATCTGAAGCTAGTAAGAAAACTGGGCATGCTTTCCTGCCTCTTCAAGATCCTTTGAGAAAATATATTTTCCTGTCCTTTTAATATTTTCTTCTCTGGGGGAATGATTTCCCACAGTCACTAGCATTCTTCACCTTCCTGCTTTTGCTTTTGCTTTGGCTTTTGCTTTGGCTTTTGCTTTGGCTTTGCATGTTGTCATTGTAGAGTTCCAGAGTATCTCAGTGCACTTTTGCTTGGTGAGTTGTGAATAGGGAATTTCATTCATCTCTTATATCAGTTACTAAAATGGAAGAATGATCTGTGATTTAGCTAAGTTTTGACAGTATTTCTGTCACATCCCAACTATGTACTCTGGCAGGTACTAAACTCTAAATTAATATGTCTGTTCAGCTCATATTTGTTTCCATTCTTTATACTACTGAATGACCATCAACTTTTCCTTTAGTGGAGAATTGCATTCCGTCTACTTTTCAATGATTTTCAAGATTCAGTACTATAGTTCCACTAAAATCTATCGATGGTGCCAAAGCTTCTTGTATCTTTTGCTTTTGGATGCCAGTTTCCTTATCTCGGTAGTTAATTATGTTTATTACAGAGAGTTGCTTCTACAAAGTCCACAGTTGTAGCAGTTTCTTCAATTTATTTTTACATTTTTTCCTCTCTTATGAAGAACAGCCAAAATAATTATACTTCTTTGCTGTAGTTCTCATTCTTGAAATTGCAAACCTACAAGTTTGCAGTTTTTGAAACTGTATGATGATTAGTATGTAGGAAAAACAAACATGCTACAAATGTTGCAGTACTCAAGGACAGGTTTATCTTCACTTCTGTTTCTTAAGTGCAATAAGTAAAAAGTTTTACATTTCTCATTCCTTTCCTGGGTTCTTAAATTAAATGAGTTCCTATTTTCTACTTTAAGGGGGGAAACGTTAGTGAACCCATTTTAAATTATGTTTTGATTGTGCAATTAATTACTTTCACCCCAAAATGGATGGATCATATGCTAATAAGCATTGCTTGTGCCAGGAAAGCCATTGCATTTCAAATGTCATGTTTCATATAATGCCCTTCATGATCAGGGGGAACACATAGGAATAGGCTGCAAAAGGAAAGATAAGACAGGAAATAGATATTTTGTGGACTGTATTCCATTCAAAATTTGTAAAAGGAACATCACAGTCTAAGTTATTATCAGCTTGCAGTCTAGTACTTGGTGCCTTAAAATTAAATTTTCCACAGAATCTGGGAATTTATGCAATTTACAGAAAGATAGCTCATTCCCTAAAAAAATACATGTGATCGTGATTTCTGTTGGTTCTTGCAGATAGATCTCCACTAGAATGTTCAACAATACATAACAGGAAATAAATCTGCAGAGGTTGCAAACAGCAGCACCTAGCTCTACCTTGCTGATTGTATAATATCACATAACATTATATCTCCTCAAAGAGGCAATGGCAAACTGCTTCATCTTGTGAAGTAAATTATGCAAGTATATTAATTTTGATGAAATTGATTCAAAAGCTGAGCTTAACTTACTTGTTTACAGGTAAAATCTGGGGGAGATTGGGCAAATTGTCATTCTTATAAAATATTTCATATTTCTTTTCAAAGATAACATTTGGAGGTATGCCTTTTTCTGGGAAGCCCAGTTCAAACAGCAGAAAGAATTTCAAAGGCTGCATGGAAAGCATAATCTACAATACCAATAATATCACAGATATGGCCAAAAGGAAAAAGTTGGAACCTTCTATTGGGGTCAGTATATTACTTAATGTTATTTAAAGGGAAAAATGACAGTTTGCAATTCATTTTTACACTGCATGTCTTGATATATATCTTAGCATTTGTGTGAATGCTAAGAACAATTTTGAAGGGATCTTTGGAATGTTTTCCCATCGTGTAGCAAATTGTCTTGATAATCCAAATGAAAGTTATTAAGCTTCATGTATTATCAGTAAAAAGCCATTTCTTTTAACATATATGAGATTTCACAAGATGGAAAAAAGAAAATCATTGGACAATCATTTTTACTAGTTGTTCAGAGTCATTTGTGTCTGAATTCATAAACCAGGTTGCAATTTTGAAAATATTCTTTTAGAAAATTTAAAGAATGTGTATAAGCACGTTAAAACCAGCTTATTTGTGTCAGTGGGACCAGTTTTTTTTTAAAAAAAACTATCTTGTTTCTATCTCCACAGTTGCTCTTACCATAAGGGATTTCAAAACTATTTTAGACAACTATACCATTCAAAATAACATACAGTGTATTCCTTAGGCCAGTGGTTCTCAACCTGTGGGTTGGGACCCCATTTGGGGTCAAACGACCATTTCACGGGGGTCACCAAACAACGCAGTCCGGCATTTTTTTCCCCCTTTTCCTTAGCTGTGCTACTCCCTTTTATTCTATTGGCTTTTGAAAGCCAATAGAATAGACTCTCTTGAATAGAGTCTAATTCTATTGGCTTTCAAAAGCCAATAGGAATTGTTCAGGCTGTCTCTGCCCTGCTGAGCCCTCCAAAAGTCCCATTCTGCAAACAGTGCTGCACCAGTTGAGTAGTCCTCGACTTACGACCGGTTGAGTAGTCTTCGACTTACAACCGGTTGAGTAGTCTTCGACTTACAACCGGTTGGGGGTCGCGGCATTAAAAAGGTTGAGAACCACTGCCTTAGGCTATCCTGCTAAACTAGGCTAACTTTAGATTACTTAATAGTCCAGGTAACTGTATTTTTGTATGTCCTTTGATGGATGCCTTTTTATTAATAAATTGATATTTATGGATCATAATGGCTAGTTTTTTTCCAAACAGCAAAATAATTTGAATGGTATTATGATATGTTTGTCAAAGAACACACATTGTTGTGTATACATTGTCTCTGCTGCACTCTTTGGAATGGGTAATCCAGTTATATTGGATTAACGAATTTGCATAATGAGTGCCTAAAATAAATAGCTCAAAGTTTACATGTGTGATAACAGCTGATTTGAACATCACTTCACTGTTTGTAACACTCTTTTTGAAAAATCAAAGATTTAAATTTTTAGCAACAATTTAATTGTTAGAGTTGTACATTTTAGTACAGGAAGAGCAAACATATAGTCATATATTATCAGTTTACAAAAGCAGGAATTAGGGTTACTTTATTTTCCTTTATGCAGAATTAGAAAATGTGTAATATATTAAACACATCTCTTTATTTAAGAGCTTTCTAGTATCATTGCCTTTGTCTTTTTCAATAGTCTGACGTATATTTAGAACATAAAATAACATAGTCGGAAGGGACCCTAAAGGTCATCTACTCCAATCCCCTACTTGAGAAGGAGAGTCTATATCATTTCAGACTTCTTGAAAGCATCCAGTGATGAGGCATACATGATTTCTGCAGGCAAGCTATTCAACTGATTGATTGTTTTCACTCTTTGGTTCTAGGTTGCTTCTCTCCTTGATTAGTTTCCACCCACTGGTTCTTGTCCTGCCTTCAAGTGTTTTGGAGAGTAGTTTGCCCTTTTCCTCTTTGTGGCAGCCCCTCAAATATTGGAACACTGCTATTGCTTAGTCTAACTGTTATTGTTTTTTTTATTGTGTAGTTCTTACCAGAAATCATCAGTTTTTAATCATACAATTTTTTTAAAAAATCATTTTTTTCATAGGCTTTTGAGATTCAATAAGCTATTGAGCAGTATAAATTCTGGCAATTGGAGGCCCTCAGTTTTTCTTTTTTAAAAAAAAACAGTCACTTTCCAACCCTATTGTTGTTATTGTTACAGTTTTTTTTTTAAGTCCTTTTATTTTTACACCCTTAGTTCAACATTTGAATATTTCATCTTTGGATTCATGATTATTCCCTACTTTTTTTACTTCAGTTATCTTCATATCTGTTCTTATTTAAAAATTCCCTGCTCTTCTTGTGTTTTGCTCTGAGAATTACTTTACACAGTTCCTTTCAGGTATCTTCAAAGATGTCAAAACTGTTTGAGGAACATGTTATAGAGCAGGAGTCCTCAAACTTGGCCCTTTTATGACTTGTGGACTTCAACTCCTAGAATTCCTTATCCAGGCATGCTGGATAAGTCAAAAAAGGGCAAAGTTTGAAGACCCCTGTTGTAGAGTGACTAAATAATCTTTATACACTAATCAAACAGGGTTTATGATTTTCAAATTGCTGACTGAATGACAAGACCTTTGAATAAGTAATTGCATTCTTCAGCAGAGGGAGAGATCCAAGGAACAGATACAGAATGCTATACTGTTCCTTGGCGATGTTTTATATTGTATTTCTAATACTGTTGCAAGATTTGTATATGCAGAAATGCATGAGTGCATCAACAAGACATTATTTTGGAGGGCTTACCTGATTTTCCAGCAGAAACTGTGGCTGTAAAAATGGCTTTCTCATTTATTTCAAGCTGAGTTATTCCTGTTGCTTTACTAGTAAGAAAACAAGATAAATTTTGTACTAATTAAATTACCATAGATTTTCATTTCTTTTTTCACATTCACTTTTTTGTTATTATTGCCCAGAGAAATTGGATTAACATAAAAAATGGTTTCAATCATACATCCTTTTAGGAATTTAAAAGAAAGGCTGTTTTATACCTTTTAAATAAAAAATAAAAAAACAAATGTTGGTCTAATGTTATATATTATATTTTTTGAACTAATAATATGAGTTTTATTTATATTAGTTTACGGAGAACATAGTTCATTCAATAGAAATTCGCAGTATTTGGAGACTGCTTCTGAATTACTTCTATTTCTTCTGTTTTACCTTTACATTTTTATAGAACACATACTCTTTACACATTATTTCATTAAATAATTGGCTATATAAAGTAACTGCTTTTCTCCAGGTTTCCCAAATGCCATTGTTACTTAATAAATTTAGGTAAACTTATTATTACAATTTTCTTTGCCTTTCCTTTTCAAATAGTTTTGACTTCCTATTCATAACACTGATGATAGTGGACAAAGGATTACCTGTATTTCTGAACATTTTTAATTTATTTAATCTAAGAGATTTGTTAATGCAGTATATTTCTTAGCAGTTTTCACCCTAAGTAATTCAACCTACATTATTTCTGTGGCAAATCACAGAATTCACACGTGTTATGCTATAATCCTGCTATGTCAAAACATTTATTTAAAGGGAAAATAAATGAAATGCAGTATGATATAATTTCATGCAATGAGAGAAGAAGTGAATAAGGAAGACCAATAGAATTTAGTGTGGATTGTAAAAAAAAACATTTGATTCCCTGCCACATGATAATATAATACTGGATAACAACTTTTTTCAAAAGTTTTACTTCCTGAAAAACTTTGGATGATAGACACCTTCAAATTGAATACAAACATGGGGGGTTTCTGGTGATGTTGCTGCAAGATGGGCACTAGAGAATGAAGCTCCCTTCTCCAGGCTCTATTTCTGCCAGCTGGGGAGTCCAATAGACCAAACGTTGCCCCATAGAGGTGACTGGCCAAAGGGTGAAACTTTGCAGATCACGGGCCAGTGGTAGCTGGCTCGCTTGATCCAAAGGAGCCCTCTGGACCAGCAGGAAGAAAGGCTGACCACACCCATGCGGTCTGCCAGAAGCAGCTGATCATCGGAGACAACAAATTCTAAAAGCAGAAAGCAAAACAGCTGATCTGGGTGAGACTACTTTCCTTATCTCTCTACAAGCAAAAATATCAGGTTTTGAGAAAGCAAGAAATCCCCAAGCTTCAGGGAAGGGGGAGCTTTTTTTTCTTTAACCCTCCCTCCTTAACTATAAGCGGCAGTTTAAGCTTTGGGGAAATTAAAACTGACTTATAACAATACTGTGAATATAACTGAGGCATAAAAGAAGGATAAATTGGGGAAAACTTTTGGATTTATAAACCTTTTTTTATTCTTTGTTTGTTTGGAAACCATTGGGTTTTAACTTTTTAAACTTTTTTAAAGTATGGTGGGAATGGACATCTAATGACACCTACTGGCAAAATTGAGAATTACATTTAATTTTGTATTTTTTTTTCTTTATCTTACTGAGTTATTTTTATTGGAGTCTTAAAACTTAGCTGTATGCCCAGACATAGATTATAGAGGTTTAAACATTTTGGTGTCCTTGGAATTTATAGTCCTGAAGATAGTGGCTGAAAAAGAAAAGACTGTTTTGGGATTGCCCTGTCCTACAGGATGGATTACTATTATAAATAAAACCTATGTTTGAAGTCATCGGACTTCCCTGGATTACAAATACAGCTTGATCTGGAATTTTTACAAGCTGTTTTGAAAGAGTGAATAATAAGAAATCCCTTCGAACAGAATACTTTGGATTACAAATTTTGGTATACATTTTTTTCTTTCTTTTTTCTTTTTTCTCTTTTGCTCTTTTTTACCATTTACTATTTTTATTATTTACCTCTCTTATTTGTTAGGAGCTTATTGGATTATAAATTTTGACTTACTTGGTGGATTACAAAGTATGATTTAAAGATAAAGATGACTGCCCCCAACTTATCTAAAGTTGGAAAAAAGGATCTTCTGCTCCCTCTTCGGTTTCTGCAAATCCAGTGTCAACGCTGCTAATATTGGATATTATTGCTTTGACAAGATATGCAGAACCAGGGCTTTTTTTGTCATAGAATGCCAGAACAGAGTTCTGACACCTTTTTTGGATGGAACCTTGTAGGGTAGGCAAGGCAGGTTGTATGACATGTGTGCGTTCTGGCAGCTTTTTTTTTTTTTTTTTTAGAAAAAAAGCACTGTGCAGAACT